CACTGGGCTGGATCACCTCTGGCAGTGCTGCTTCACACCACCGGGCCCTTCTCCTGCTTTGCTTTCTCCTAACCACTGGGGTGAGGTGAAGGAAACCAACCCAAACAGCCTCCTGGCCTCTGGCAGCACCCAGACGCTCTCGCAGGCGTGAGCGATCAGCAGGGGCACCGTGGGCACGTTCTGGGGGTGTGGGTGAGCCCACGTGGAGAGGAGCCCCAGAGCACCCACAGGACCAGCCTGCCACTGAACGGTGACTTCACAGCTGCTACAATGGGTGTTCATAGCAGCAGACAGAAGAGCCTGAAGGTGTGAGAGGGATGCAGCCCCCAGCCTGAGCCAGCACATGGCGTGTGGTCTTGTGGTGCACATCATGGAATCATCTTGGCTGGAAGGGACCTTTAAAATCATCAAGTCCAACCATCCCCCAGCACTGCCAGGTCCCCACTGCCCCATGTCCCTCAGCACCACATCTCCATGGCTTGGAAACCCCTCCAGGGGTGGGGACTCCACCCCTGCCCTGGGCAGCCCGGGACAGGGCTTCACAATCCCTTCAAGGAAGAAATTGTTCTACTGCCCAGCCTAAACCTCCCCTGGCACAACTGGAGGCTGTTTCCTCTTGTCCTGCTGCTTTTTTCTTTGCGAGAAGAGCCCGACCCCCACCTCACTCCAGCCTCCTGCCAGGGAGTTAAGAGCAATAATGTCACCCCTGAGCCTCCTTTGCTCCAGGCTCAGCACCCCCAGGTCCCTCAGCTGCTCCTCATAAGGCTTGTGCTCTTACCTAGAGCACATCCCATCCTCTGTCCCACCAGCCCTGCCTGGAGCCCCTTTAGTGGCATTTGCCATAGCCTGAGGGAGAGTCGTGTGTGAGATTTTTGGTGCCCTGAGGTCCAGCTCTCAGCTCTCTTTTCGGGAAGCATGAGTGAAGTATCAGCACTTCAGCCCTCCTGTCTTTGCTGGTGTTTGTGAGGGCAGATGCTGGACACTGTTAGCCAATGGAGTAAAAGGTCAGGACTGGTTTCCTGATGGCCAAGGGTGATAGCACGAAATGCTCCCAGCAGTTGGTGGTTTGCTGTGATGCAGGTCATGTAACAGATCTTCCACCCCTCCAGTCTAATCACATAGAGAAAATATAACAGAGTTTACTTCCCATAATAAAGTTGTACTCCTGTGTGCCCAAGGATTGAAGGCTGGTGCTTGGATTTTTCCCAGCGGGCTGAAGGGAGGTTCAGGTTTTGTTTTATTTATTTGTTATATTTTAAACCAAAGCCAAAGAACCATGAGTCAGCTCGATCCATGCTGCAGCAGCTCCTCAGCCCTGGTCCCCAGGCTTTGTCTGGCAGACGCCTGCACCTCCACTGGGGGGGTGAACCCCGAGGCTGCTGCATGGCAAGTGGAGCCTTGTTGTTGTCATCCCCTCCTGGCAGGAGCTCCTTAGGGAGGCTGTGCCTGTGCTTGGAGCAGGTGGCAGGGGAAGGAGGAGGTGCTTTTGCCTCGTAGCAGGGGGTCCTGGGAAGACACCCAGCTGCTGATGCCAGGAGCAGGTTCTCTGTCCCAGCACCTGCCAGCTCCCTGTGCAGTTCCTCCTGGCAGCCCCATCTCCAGGGAGGAGGGAGCCTCCATCACCTCCCTCCTTCTGCTTGATGGTTGCAGACTTCTGTAGCTGCTCTGTAGGCTCCCTCCATGCCTCCCTGGCTGAATGATGGTACGTTTTTAACCCTTCCTTTCCCAGGAAATGTCAGTCTCCATTGCTGCTGGCACAGGAAGCTGAGAGGGATAAATGCTCCAAGTGGGCTAAGACTGAAGATTAAAACAGACCAAGTGAGTTCCTCAGCCAGGGTTGACTGTCTTGGCTCTAGAGGCTTCACTGCAGGGATGTTACTTTTTACTTTGTCCTTCAGGAGATCTTGTGAGGTCAGACTTCAGTTTTGGCACTCGCACATTTGGTTCTCACTTTGGTGTAGGAGCCCCTGGGGTTTTTTTGTTTGCAGATCATCTGGCAGGATAAGACCCTGTTCTGGGACCAGAGGTGTCTTCTGCTGGAAAGAGCAAAAGAAGCTTTTGGGCTATGTGAGAATCCCCCAAAACATCTCTCATGCCTGTCAGTCACTCACTGTGCCCCAGTGAAGTTACACTGCAGTAATTACAGTGGGTTACAGTTCAAAGTTCAAAAGTTTTTTCAATCTTTTTTCCCAGCATGTGTGACCTTCTCTTGCTGCTGTGTGGGTTTGCCTGGGGAGTTTGCTGTGCAGGGACTGATCTCTGCTGGAGGTGCTTTGCCATGCCCAACAAAGGGATGCTTCCTGTGGGAGGGCCCCTGCAGGCTCGGGCTGCCCCTGTTACCCCCCCAGGCTGTGACTCTTGCAGCTCCTGCTGCTGGCGTTTTGGGCTGTGCTTTGGTCTCTGTGCTTCTGTATGCTCAGGAGAAACGAGGTGCTGAAGAAGGGGGTGAGGTCCTGTCTGGGGGTGTCTGTTCCCAGGGGCCTGCTGTGTGGCATCAAGTGTGGGCAGGTGCTGGTCTCTGCCTGGCTCTTCTGCCTCTCCTGCTAAAGATATTCTCTGTCTAAAGACCTGGAGGGTTTCTTCTCCCTGTTTGCAGCTGGGAGCTCATCCAAGCTCCCTTGTATCTTTTTGGCCATTTGTTTGTGAGCACACTGACTCCTTTCCACAGCGAGCTGTCATCCCTGAAGCTCAGGGCTTGGTGTGCTTCCTCTCCATAGCTCCTTCACACAAGCAGTTCTGGTTAATGTGCCTGGAGGGGCCCTTCCCAGAGCTGTCACGCTGGTCCAGCTGGGGGTCAGAGCCCTGTGTTGCCCTTCTCTCCATCAGCTGTTGATCTGTAGAGGAACACCTAAGCTGAGTCAAAGGGACAGGGCAGAGTCTCCAGAGCTCGGTGGCCACATCAAGTGCAGCACCAAGGCCAGATCTACATGTACCCATGGCCTCTACCAGGGATGTCCTGAGGGACAGGAGATAGCTGAGGGATTTCAAGAAGATGTGACCTTTAGGCATTAGCAGAGGGCCCTCAGCTGCTCTGGGAGGCTGTGCTTGTTTGTTAGTCAGCTCGTCAGGCCTCGGTGCTGAGGGCAGCCAGGTCTCACCCAGCCCTGCTGTCTTGCTCCTCTGTGGTTGCTGTTGAGCTGTGGTGTGCCTGTGGATGCTGGCTGTGAGCCCACCCAAATCCTGCATGTCATCGTTGCTGCGGGTTCCCAAGGAAGCTCTGG